CTCAACCACTGCGCCACCAGGGAAGCCCTGTTGCCTTGTTTTTAATAGTTATTATCAAATACTTCCCAGGAGCAGGTGTTTTTGCCTTGGACCCCAGCTATACCTTCACTTAGCATCACAGATACTTAGAGTAAGAGAGAAGGCTGTGAGGAGACCCCAGGAGTCATCTAATTCTACCAGTGAAATGGAATTTCACTGGACCTCTCCATTTAGGGTCCTCCCTCTTCCCACTGCTCCACCCTCTTCTTTGGGGGAAAGTCTGCTCTTAGGCTGTTTCATGGGGAGAGAAAATGCTCTCCCTCCTGAGAACTGCAGTGAGCAGTGTTTAGGGCTAGTTTCCACCTCTGTGCCTGGTGGCTGTTCATACTGAGGGCTCCCGCAAATGCTCCCCACTCAACGCCCTGACGCTAGATCATGAATCAAGTCTATTCAGATTCCCAATAATTACAGCTAGTGCTGAAAGCCTACAGCCCAGCAGGTCACATGGTTTGTTTGGGCTCTAGAGCTCTGATTCCTTTCTATTTCAGTCCTCTGCATGCCAATGCAGGGGACACGGGTTCGAGCCCTGGTCCGCGAAGATCCCACATGCCGCGGAGCAACTAACCCTGTGAGCCACAACTACTGAGGCTGTCTGCCACGACTACTGAAGCCCACGTGCCTACAGCCCATGCTCCTCAACGAGAGAAGCCACCGCAACGAGAAGCCTGCGCACCACAATGAAAGAGCAGCCCCTGCTCGTCACAAGTAGAGAAAGCCTGTGCGCAGCAACAAAGACCTAACGCAGCCAAAAATAAATAAATTTATGTAAAAAAAAAGTTTCTGCCATTCCCAATTTTCCCTGTGAGCTGTTGTAAATGAATAGTGCCTTTTTAAAAAATTGAAGTATAGTTGATTTACAGTGTAGTGCCCATCTCTGCTGTACAGCAAAGTGACTCAGTTATACACATATATACATTCTTTTTTTATATTCCTTTCCATTATGGTTTATCACAGGATACTGAATATTGTTGCCCCGTGCTATACATTAGGACCTTGTTGTTAGTGCCTTTTAAAGTGGATTACACTTTACTATATTGGGCCAAAAAGTTGGGCTGTTCTTGGAAGAAATACAGATCCACCACTAATAGAGTGGAAGAGAAGCCTATGAAGGACGTTGGGACACATTTGGCTCTACCCAGAGAGGTTACATGACTCCCCTCACCTCACACTTGGAGAGCCCGAGCCCAAAGCACCTCACTCTACTCAGGGTTCACTCTGCTGCACCAACCGCTGGCCCGCAAAGACGAAGCTAGTCACAACCACTCTGATGGCAGCGGACGCCTCTCTGACATGAGGTCAAGCCTGGCTTGAGGTCAGTTGTGTGGAAATGTTTTGCCACAGTCATTTGTTGTGTTTGTACTATGTACGAGGACCCTGGTGATCAAGAGTGGACTTCAGCAGTGCTTCCCTGGTAGCGCGGTGGTTGAGGGTCCGTCTGCCGATGCAGGGGACACGGGTTCGTGCCCCGGTCCGGGAAGATCCCACATGCCGCGGAGCGGCTGGGCCCGTGAGTCATGGCCGCCGAGCCTGCGCGTCCGGAGCCTGTGCTCCGCAACGGGAGAGGCCACAACAGTGAGAGGCCTGCGTACGGCAAAAAAAAAAGAAAAAGAAAAAGAAAAAAAAGAGTGAACTTCAGCAGCTTCTGGACCAGAGTTCCAGTAGCTCCCACTCTTCCCTGGGTTACCTGAGTGCCTCGCACGAGTTACCTAACCTCTCTGTGTGAAGCGCTTGGCACCATGCCTGGCTCACGGTGATAGCCTGTCCTGCATGTGCATTATGGAATCTCTTCACCAGCGATGGATGAGGTGCTGCTCTTATTCTCCCCACAGGCAGATGTGGTGAGGTGTGGACAGGTGAAGTGAGTTGTCCAACATCACAGAGCTAGGAAGTGGTGGAGCTGCTCCAGAGCCATGTTCTTTTTGGGTTTTTCTTCATTTTTATTTTCATTTTTTTGGCCACGCTGTGAGGCATTTGGGATCTTATTTACCCGACCAGGGATCGAACCTGTGTCCCCTGCGTTGGGAGCATGGAGTCTTAACCACTCGACTGCCAGGGAAGTCCACAGAGCCCACGATCTTAACCAGGAAGCTAAACTCTCCCAGGGTCACATGGCTGCTGAGGAACATAGAGAGACTGAGTTGAGATCCTGCTTTACTCCTAGACCAGAGCTTATTCCCAGGCCTAAGCAATGTACAGGAGCAGCTGACATCTCCATGTGTTGCACTCAGAGCCTGCTGCAAAAATGTGAGCATTCATCAAGATTCCCACAAAGATTTGAGCACCTGCTTTGTACTCAGCATTGATTTTTGAGCTGGGGAGAGGTGGTAAACAAGATAAAGTCTTCATTTTCTTAGACGCAGATTATAAACCAGTGACCAACACTTTCTAAAATGATTCAGTACATTTAAGTGCTATGAAGAAAACAGAACAGGCTGCTGTGATACTACACGGCTTGGGTGGTCAGGGAAGGCCTCTGAATGATTGAAGGAGGCAGGCTTGCAAAGATCTGGAGAGAGTTCCAAGCAGAAGGAACAGTAAGTGCAAAAGTCCTGAGGCAGATTTTGCTTGGTGTGTTCATGATACTAGAACTCTGATTTTACACAAAGAATTTTCTCCACACTGGTATTTCAGTTCCTCATTGACTTAGCAAATTAAAAAGATGATAAATACGTTTGTGTTGCCTTCGAAAGTAAAAGTAAATTTGGAATAACCAAGAGCTTCTTCCTGGATTTACAAATATAGCAACAAAGGCCTTTGGGCATTTTTGTAGCCAACAACTTTGTAAGCAGACCCATGCATTTGTAGTCCATGCTTCTGTGCTCTGAAACCAAGCAAAAGAGGGCAAGCCCATCCCTGGCTGATGTGTTTTAGACAGCCAAGCAAATTCACACTGATCCACAGTCTTCGTGAGGGTAAAAGATAATACTGAGGGATAAATATGGAAAAGCTGATTTGCTGCCCATCCTCAGGGTCAAGCACAGGGCTGAGGGGGCCAGCTGCATCTTTTTATACTCTTCTTCTCAGGGAAGTGGTACTGCTACAGCATGCCACCTTGGAAATTTTTCCTGCTTGCCTTGGGAGAGGTTTGCTCAACTCACTTTGGGAAGGTTATTTCAACTTTTCTGCTGCATCAGGACTTTGTGAGCGGTGAACACCAAAACCCCAAAGACACACATGCATCCTTGTCTGCCCTTGGTAAGCACGGAGAGAATCTCACCAGTCAAAAAGGGAATATCCTGGATTTTGCCTGATAATTCTTGGGTTGACATTTTTGGGCATCCCTGAAGCAACCACTCTTGCTGCAGCTGCTGCCCGGGCTGTTCTCGCTTCAGACTCAGTACTTGCCAAGATCTGCCTAGAAAGAAGTGTTTCCCACTGTGGGCCTCACACACTGAAATGGCATCAGACCGAAGTCCTCTGTTTCAGGGTCTAATTAGCCTGTAGCTTTAGGAAGTGGAACAAAACATCTACATTTTTGTAGGATGTCACTTGAAAGTGTTAGCTGAATAGCCTCAGCTGTTCAAATAGTAGAGCTAGATACGGTGGCGTATGTGGAGGGGGATGGGCCGGGCTGAGGGGCGTGGGTACTGGAGGGAGGTATCCGTAGTCCTGGCAAGAACGGTCCAGGCTTCTTTGAGATGTAAAGGGCTAACCCAGAGGTAGCTGCGCATTTTATTTTCTTCTTGAAAAAAGCCTGTTTTGTTTGTTAAGTGCTCCTTGTGTGAAGCTGCGTTGTGGAGAGAGAAACATTTCTTTCCCTTGGTTCAGGTGGGGTGAGGGCTTCACTTGGAAGGGAGGCTCCTTGGCAGCTGCGGGCTGGAAGGTGATTCCAAGTGAACCGATCCCTAGGCCTGTTACCTCGCCTGAGAAATGAGAAGTTTGGATGAGATCGGTTTCCTAGGCTCACCTGTCAGTGAATTGCACCTGAAGTGCTTATTCCCAAACCACTCCGCTCTCCAGAATCGGAATTCTCGGGAGCAGTGATCTGCGTGTTGGGCAGGCATCCGGTGATCTTCATTCTCAAGGATGTTTGGCCTGTGTGATCTCTCACAAGTCTGTCAGCTCTAAAACTGTTGGCTAAGTCTGGAAGGCAGTGATTCCTAACTAGTCTTGAGACCCAAGGCTTTTTGCAAATCTAAGGACAGCTGTGGACGCTCTCTTCAGGGAAAAAATGTCTGTAGGCAGAATGCGGAATCCAGTTTCAAGGTTTGTGATCCTTGATGAAGAATTCCTACTCTAAAGTCAACTCAAAAGAGAACCTAAGCACCTGGAATCGTGGATAGCACAAAGTAACTGCTCACTAAAGGTAGGTTATTCTTTTTATGTCTCCCACCTTTTTCCTATGATATACTAGTATTATCTTCATTTTTTAGATGAGGAAACTGGGGCATAGAGAGATTAACATACCTCGTAAGTGGGGAATGGATTTTAACCTAAATGATCTGATTCCAGAACCAGTGAACTTAAAATTCTGGGTTACCTAATAAAGTGGGGTGTGTAAAGTGGGGATGGGGGAGGGTGGAACGGTCGGAAAAGGCCTTTCTGAGCTCTTCCAGTTCTGAACTAACTTGCCCCTGTCCCCATCATTTTCACCCTGCGGGTCTCGGTTCTTGGTTTCTACAGCCCACAAAGAAAGGGGCTGGCCTCCCCTCTTCCTGCTCAGCGGGGTCCGACTCCCACGCTCTGCGATCCACTTCCCCAGCGCGCCAGGCTGTGTGGAAACAGGCCGGGCCCTGGCTTCCCGCCGCCCGCCAAAGACTAACCGTCCCAGGTGTCTCCTGTTAAGCGGTCGCCGGGGCCTCCCTTCCACCCCGCGGAGAATTCCCGAAGAGCCCGAGGCCCGGGCTGCTCGCGGCGGGCGGGGCCCACCTATCTTGGCGCTGTCACGCCCCTTCCCGGGCATCCCAGGTGGCTCGGGGCGGGGAGGGGCCGCACCAACGCCAGCCAGCCGCCAGTGAGCTGCTAGCCAGGACGGGGTGCCGGGAGCAGGGAGCCGGCCGGACGCGCGGACAGGTCAGGGGAGCGCGGCGGAGCTGGTGAGCCGAGGGGCACAGCGGGCTGGGGGCGGCGGTCGGCGGGGGACGGCGGGCTCCGCGCCCGGGTCCTGCGGGGCCGAGCGGCTGCGGCGGGCAGTGCGGGGCTCCCCTGCCTGGCGCGCCGGGGGAGCGAGCGTGCCGGGGTCGCGGCACAGCAGAGGGGTCGGGGCCCCGTAGCTGCCTGGGGGCGAACAGCTGCGACCCTCTGCACCGGGCTGGAGCTGGGGGCGGGAGCGGGCGCGGGGATAGGGCCGGGGCTCCATGGGTCTCTGAGCGGCCCGGACGGCACAGAGGCGCTCTGTCCGCGGCGCTGGTGGGGAGAGGGGAGGCTGGGGGCCCCACTGCTGCGGAGAGCGCGGAGCAGCGCGGGGGACTCAGGCCCGCGGGGGGGACCCGAGCGAGCTCCCGCCTCTCCCTCTGCGGCGCTTGCCAGGGGCCCGCTCAGGTGTCACTGCTCCTTCTTCCCGGAGCTTTACTTTTGTTGCTGGTGTTGAGTGTTCGACATACACCTGGGTTAGTTACCTGGGGCTTCCAAAAAACTGGGTATGCAAGGCTGCTGTGACTCCAGGGGCCTGCGCTTGTAAGGCTCCATCCAGGTCTGTGTGTCCTGGGGCGCTGTCGGGCGTTGGGGTGGAGGCGGAGGGTGCGCTGCATCTCCCAGGCCCTGGCCATCGGTGTGATAAAGTGGAAAAAGTCTAGAATCTAAATTCTAGTTACTAGCAGTGTGACCTTGAGCAAGTTGCTTAACTTTGCTGATTCTCAGTTTGCTCAAAGGTAAAAAGGTTATTATAATCATTACAACGGCCTGAAGTTATACGATGTTCATAAAGCCCATAGCACGTTGCTTAATGAAAGTTCCCTTTGTATTAATGTAACACTTCATGCCTTCCAGAGGTCCCCACTCCTTCCTGAACAGAAGGGAGATCCAGGAGGCTCAGAGTACCCTCCTTTAGGAGGGAAGGTGGTGGTGTGTGGTTTGGGGGGTGGCATTTTTTCCATTCTAACTTGTTCATGGCTAGGCCTCCTCCAGGCAGTTTTACTTCCTGACACCATTCTAGAAGCCCAGTTTGAGAGGTGACTGCACAGGTCCTGAATATAGAAGAGATGTTATCGGCTTGCTTTCATCGTTACTGACTGTATTTGTCAGAATTCTTTTCTTTGGGTTGGGTTTGGTCACTTGAAAATTGCTTTATGCAATATAGAAATTGATTGGGTCACATAAAGGAAAAGGCTGAGGGTTTAGCTTTAGGCATAGCTTGATCCAGGGGCTCACATAGGGTTGCCGGGCTTGTTCTCTCTTTTTCCCTCTGTGTTGACTGTTCTTAGTATGGAGTGATAAAAAGCACGGCATCTCAGGCTTATCTGTTCCTTTAGAGAGAGGGGGGATAGGAGGATGTCTCTCTTTTCTTCCGTCACCTCCATCCTTATAGCAAACGTTATTGATACACTAGACCAAAGCGGGGCCAAGCCATCTCAGTGGACAGGGAGTGGGTTTCCACCATAGCAGTGGGTACTTTGCTCAGGTGCCACTGTGATAGTCACTCCCACCCCAGGTGCCGGGGATTGGGCAGGGACAGTTCCCAATGAGAGGTCTGACTTCTGGGCAGATAAAATAGGACCTGTTCATTGCACTATCTCTGCCTTTGCTCACCACCGCTTAAAGAAAGTCTTTAGTAGAGTGTAGACTGCCTGGGTGCCATGTTCCATCTGTCAATTGTCAAGTCTTATCCCAGGCAAGGAAGGCATCCTGCATGTTCCTCCTTTGATTCCTTGTTTTGTTGTTTGCTTGTTGGTTGATTCATTCATTCAGCATTTAATAAATGCCCAGCATACACCAGGGCCTCTGCCAAGGGTGAACATGTTTGCTTTTGAGAAGCTCACGGTCTAGTTGGAGAGGCAGATGTGCAGAGAACAGAGTCTGGGACTGTGTAACCGTCTGGGGACAAGCAAAGACTTCCCAAGGAAACTGTACTTGAGCTCTAAATTGGAGATAGTAGGGGATAGTAGGAGGAAAGTTTGCAGGGACTTCCCAGGCCAAGCGGTGTGGTGTGGTAGGGTACTTTCTGTTGTAAGTAACACTAGTTAGGTTACTTTACTGTCTTGCTTAAGAAGTCTAGAGGTAGGTGGTTCAAAGTGGCCACAGTTCTGGGTTGGCTTCTTGAAGATTCTCTGGGTTTTCCCTGCCCTGCCACAGGGTGACTGGAGCGCCATCACACCTTCACGTGATAACATGTAGAGCAAAAAGGGAGGGAGACGGCTTGCTTCTCAGTGATTCTCTAGATAACAAAGGTCAGAATTTCTCAGAGGTTCCCTGTGCCACTGGCCAGAATGGTCATGCGCCCGTGCTGAGCCAGTCACTGGCAAAGGAGGAGAGGGTGGCTGTGATTGTCGTGGCCCAGCCGTGTTCTGGAGCTGGGGGAGGGGTCACCTTCCCTGAGCACGTTGGTGCCCCTATCTGAAAATCGGAATTCTGTTAGCAAGGCAGAAAGCGAGCCTGGCTTGCCTGTCGGGCAGTTAGGTAGCCGGTCACCCGTGTCTCCTGCAGGTGGTGACAGACGATGAAAGACATGGCCTTACAGGAAGCAGGAGAAGCTCAGGACGGTAGGGGAAGGGTAGGGTGTGGCTGAGGGGAGGGAAGGAGCTGAGGTTGGAGGCGCAGTAGAGACAGGAAAACCCTGTGTTAGATGCCCTCTGGATATCACTAAGAAGCCTAAATCTCGGTCCCATTCCTCAAAGAGCTTACACTCAAAACCTGGGAAAGTTTTTCTGGGTCTGTCACAGTCCCATAGTAACAGCAACAGTGGCTCACTCTATGGGGGTAACTGTGCGGGGAATTAGGGTGGAGGAGTTTAGGGAGGGGCCGTGTGCAGTTTGAAGAAGCCTCACAGCTGGTTCTGCCGTGCCTCCCACTCCCCAGTGCCCCCTTCACCTTCTCCCCTGCCCCTTATTGAGAACATTTGCTCTAAATCATGTCTTTGTTTTGGCGTCCTTACCTGTCTTCAAGCTACAGGCTGGGACTTGGAGAAGATGCAGTTAGTGGTAGATCCTGGACTAGGAAACAGTTCTCCTGATGATAGTCCAGCGGGTGAATACTATAGAGTCGTGCTCAGTAGGGAACCAGCCTCCACTGTCTACTGCTTTTAAAGCGTTTAGCCTGTTTTCATTTGAAGTATGAAGTGAGAGCTGCCTTTTGTTTCCATGTGACGTGGTGGACATGGGTGGGCATTTGGTGTTAGATTGGGCAACCAGGATACTACTTCTCATATTCCTCCATCCTCAGTGTCTAACTAGCACAGAAATTGGCAGAAAGATCTAGTCACTAATCCTGGAAGAAAGGAGGGAGAGGATGCCAACATATCTTGTTGTTTCCCTCAACAGCCCTGCCCAGGCAGAGCGTGAGGGAATGAGGTAGAGAATTGCCTTGGGCAGTCATTAATTCACAAATGTTTATTGAACACCTACTGGACAGCGGACACTGCCCTGGGGTTGAAAGGAATATATAAGAACGTTAAAATCTCTGTTCTCATGGAGCTTACGGTCTACTGGAAGGGGACCTATTTATGTTTTGTCTCCTATGTCAGGCGATGAGAAGTACTATAATGAAAAATAAGGCAGGTTAAGAGAAGCCTGCAGTAGTTGGAAACAGTCTGGGCATAGTGCTAGAAATCATCAAGGTTTAGTCTGTCTCTGGTTTCCAGCAGAGAAATATGGCCTAAGCAGGTATGGTACTGGCCAAAGAAGGCGTTCCCTTGGAGGAAGAGGATCACATATTAAATAACTTGATCTTAAAGAATTTCTTTCATGTGGAATCTCTTGGTTTGTTTGTTCTACTGTCCCTCACATTGTTACCAAACGTGATTTACAATGACTTACAAAACATGGTACCAGGTGATAAGAAATAAATGAAGAAATATGAGCAAAGGGAAAATAAGAGTCATTTCTTTCATCATTGTATTCCAGAATTGTTTAGATTTGGTAGCAGGGGAAGAAGGAAGTATGGTGATTAAAAATGTGGTGATTCATGCTCAGGGTTCATTATTTAAAAGGTGACAGTGTAAAGTTTTGATGTCTCAGAAGTTTATAACTTATTTGGGTATGTGTGAAGAGCCAGTTTTATTTGATAGGAAAAAATAGTCTGAGTTCAAAGAAAACTACTAGTATTATTTCTTTAGGTCAGTACAAAGTGCACCAAAGGTTCACAGAGATCAAAAGCCTGATTCCAGAGTCAAAATAATATGGTATAAATAAAAAATTAGTGAGAAGGTGAGTTTGGACTCATAACTGGCTGGGAAAAATACACAAATTTCAAATAAAAATTTACAGCATAGATGGGTTACACAAAGGTAATTTTGATTACCTATTTTTATTGGGTTGTTTGTTTTCTTATTGTTGAGTTTTGACAGCTCTTTACATAACCTGGATATATGTCCTGTGTCAGAAATATGATTTTCAAATCAGTTCTCTCAGTCTGTGCCTTATCTTTTTATTCCCATAGCAGTGTCTTTCTCAGGGCAAAAGTTTTTTAACTTTGGTAAATCAATTTATCAATCTACTTATGGATCAGAATTTTGTTGTTGTACCTAAGAATTCTTTGCCTAACTAAAAGTCTTGACATTTTTCTACATTTTCTTCGAGAAGCTTCATAGTTCTATGTTATACCCTTAGGTTTATGATTCATTTTGGGTTAATTCTTATGTAAGGTGTAAACTCTGAGTCAAGGATTTTTTTTTTGGCATGTGGAATTCCAGTTGTTTCAGCACCATTTGTTGAGAAGACTATCCTTTCCCTGTTGATTTATCTTGACATTTTTGTTGAAAATCAATTGGCCATAATTGTAAGGGTTTATTTTTGGATTCTCAATTTTATTTCATTGATCTAGAGGCCTACTTTATGCCAACACTACACTCTCTTGATACTGTGACTTTATAATAAATTTTGAAAGCAAGTAGTATAAATCTCCCAATTTTATTCCTTTTC